TATGTGATTATTGATGTCTTCAAAATATAGAATGCTCGGACTTGGTAGCAAAGAGGGAACTACATTACCATGCAGGTCTTTCATCAACACGTTAGCATCTTTGAACTAGCTGTGTCCACCTGTTCACAGTTGAGCACAACAAACCATAAGGCCTGTCAGCTTTCTGCAAAAATCTAGTGAGTGTGTGTGTGTGTGTGTATGCGCATGCACGCATGAGCGTGTGTGCATGTGCATGCATCAGCATGAGCATGTGCGCACGAGTGTGTGTTCCAAAATTCTGCATCTGTCCATGATATTTTATTTCTGAGAACAAGGTGCATGGTGTCCCCTTCTGACAACACTGGATTCTCTGCACAGCTATTTTTTCCTATTTTTCTGCCTTTTGTGGCAGAATACAATCTACATTTTTCTTAGGAGTACTGGTAGTAATAACAGAGAACGTGCTGTGTGATATAAGATACATTCTGCTGCTTGAGTTCCATGCCATTATAGTTTTGAGATGAATTCATGCCCTTATACTAGGTGAAATCGCAGTCATTTTAAAAATGAATGGTTTGAAAACAGCGCATCAGAAGTAATGGATCATACTGACATTCTTGTACGCCCTCCAAAAGTTTCCAGTTTCACTGACAATGAGGGCTCATATGACATTATAATTGTTGAAGTTCACCATATGGCTTCAGGATATGTGAAGACATGCAGTGAGCTAATTTACTGCAAAGTTTCATACAATAATCACCAGGAGAAGGGTTCCTATTTGATGAGAAGAGCAAGAGAATGGAAACTACATAAAACTGCCTCCCAAAGAATTTGAAGATCAGGTGATGGTTGCAACTGGATTGATACAAGACCCACAATACAAACTGTCCAATCAAGCATTCCAAATAACAAAAAAGAAAGTTTGATGAACCTTCACTGCCAATATTACCTTAATGCATATATTTTTACTGTCTGATAGGTGTGATATTATTTTTATTAATTCTGACACCATGAAACCTCTCACAGCAGCTGATAGATGAAATAGAGCAATAAAACAGAAGGTAGGCATATCACAACCCATGGTTCTGGAGACTTAACAGTTCTCAATACATGTACGTGGGGTTAAAGGCCATGATTAGTTAGGGAAGTATGGTATGAATTTGGTGTCAGAGGCAAAAGAAATTGTGGTGGGTCCTATTCACATGCACAGTAGATGAGGCATTCATAAATTCTTGGCTGCTCTAGAAACTCATATATGAGGAGAATGCACCAGATCATTTCAGCTTCACATGCACTGTTACTGAACCCTAACCCACACCAGTCACCAGCACAAATTAGTTAAATGCACCATATTCTCTCCATCTATTATCTATTCAGATAAGAGTTACCCCTGCCATTAGATTGGTTGGTGTTCATTACTGTACTGGCAAATGAAATATGCAGATATAGAAGAGAGCACAGACTGGTGCAAAGAACACCTATGTTTCACTTCACAAGGTGTAACACTATCTAGTGTGTTCAGTGTTTTGCACCCCAACATAAGAGATGAACACCATAAGTGTTTAGAGAATAGAAATGTAGAAACATGTAAAAAAACATAAAGTTGTCCCTGTGCTTAACTAATTAAGCACTACACCATGAAGGCATATGGGGGAGTAGACCTACAGAGCCACATTTTCACGACCTCAGCACTAGCTGGAGGTGAGTGGTGAGCTTCACACCCTGGCCACTTCACACCAGTACCCACTGGATAGGAGGCTGGGTGGCCCCAGAGCCAGTCTGGATGACATGAGGAAGAGAAAATTCTTGACCCTACCAGGACTTGAACTCCCACCCCTCTGTCATCCAGCCTGTAGCCAGTTGATATACCAACTCACACAGAAACATGTACACTTCATAAATGTGTAAATTCTCTTTGTGCAAAATTAATTTGTGCAGTAAATCATGTAAGAAAACAAGAACTGCATACAGATAACACCAGTCCCTGTGTCCTATTTTACTGTTACTTCTGTAACTGTGCAGAAAATAGTGTTCCTTGCTTGAAGTATGTCTTCTACAAGCTATGCCCACAGGCACTTAATACAACATAATTATTTGGATTTAACAGGTTAAAACAAACTGTGTCTGTGCCTCCCCAAGTTCAATGTTATACTTGATATAATGCTATCCAATTTTCCACTCATCAACTTTTCACTAACCATGAATAACGAGACAGTCATGATTGTGTACAGAGATGGCTTAATTTACAATATAGTAAACAGAATTTAAAGGAATGTAATGTAAAAGTAAAGTCCTTGTGCTTAATTAATTCATCACACCATGAATACATATGGAAAGTGGAAGTATAGCTCCATCATTCTTGTCCTTAGCACTAGATTCGGGTGAGTGGGCAGCTTCACACCTCAGGCAGGTCTTTACCCTCCCTCAGGTAACCATTAGATAGGCTGGGTGGGTTCCAGAGCCAATCTGGACGCTGTGAAGTAGAGAAAAATATCTTGCCCCTGCCGGGAATCAATCCCCAGCTGTCTAGCCCACAGCGTATCACTATACCAACTGAGCTATCCTGCCTCCACAAAGGAATGAAATGTAGAAAAGTTAATATAAAATGTAAGTTATTAATTATTTTAAAATGTGTATGACCAAATACATTCTCAATCATTGAAATCAGAAAGGGATAATGACAAAGGGCACAAAAGGACTGTTATAAAACGTCCTGCAACACCACAAAACCTTCTGTGAGAACACCATTGTGTTGCCTGCATGCAGTGTATGGCCTAAAAATAGTCTCATGTCTTGTGTGCAACACAGAGTCACTAGAATTGGCAGGAGCTCTGAGCATATCAAGTATACAGAGCACTCCTGTAGCCCAAGTTATCCATCAGATGATGTAACGCGAATTATCAAGTAAGAAGGAATTCAAAAGGAAGTCTTAAATATCCATAAAAATTTGCATCTGCATGTAATAATGCTTCATTATAAAATCAATGCCACTGTTATGTTAATGAAGTGGTGGAATGTTCCTAAACATCAAAACCAAGGGCAGAATATTTAGGCCAATCAGTGGCCGCAGTGCCGCGTGGACCCAGTTGGACTCCACCCCCCACTAAGTGAATTAAACACAGTTCAAATCTCAGTCTACAGACCTACTATTCTACAATTATCGTGGCTTTCCTCAATCCCTTCAGGCACTACTGAGACAGCAGTTCAAATTAGGCAATCACCATTTTACTGCACATCCTTTAAGATATTTTATTCACTAATAATCCTATGATTCAGTGCTACATAACCTAAGCTACTGAAAGCATTTACAACCATAAATAAAAAGATCAAAACGGGAGGCAAAGAAAGCTTCTCTTACAGGGAGGCTGAGCCATTACAGAACCACACAAACTAATAAATGTTGTCAAGGAGCAGATGCTAATTTTTAATTATGCACCCAAGATGCATATCCTTGGTAGGATCTGAGCCTGTGACCAAGCAAGCTGAGACCACAACGTCCATATTTCAATGTTCCATTGTAATCCATAAAATTAAATACATTCAAGACACAGCCATTCTTTGTGATCACAGTAGAAGATACTATGTACGCTATTTCATCTTTTCAGCTGGTCTGTCTACCTCTATCCCCACTCCAACTGGCTCTTATCCTTCCAATACTATTTCAAGGGTCCTGTATGGTAATGACAACCCATTCTTTTGCAATCGCCCTTTGAATACATCCTCTCTGTGTCCCTATCTGTGGCATATAATCTAATAATCAGAGTGCTGAAAAATTTCCTTCTCACACCAACAAGGCCTTAACTACTACACTCTACAACCACAATCTGACCATTTATGTAGGCCTGTACATACCTTCTGCCACTTATGATTCATTTGTAGGCTTTAACAGCATTGCATTAATTGCAGAAGTTACAAAGCATTGTATGAGGTGTGAAACTAATCATAAATAGAGAATCAGGGACATTGGCAACATCAGTTGTGACATGTGTCAGGGTATTATCTTGGTAATTATCTCCATTAACCGAGAAAGACCACAAAAATCTTTACTCAAAATATTCAGCTTGCCAGGAAGCTGGGATAGCTCAGTTGGTACAGGGACTGGCTACAGGCTGGATGACTGAGAGGTTAAAGTTCGAGTCCCGGTACGGTCAAGAATCTTCTCTTCTCCAAGTTGCCCAGAATGGTTCTGGGATTCACCCAAACTCCTATCCATTGGGTACTGAGGGCTCTTTCCCTGGGAGCACAGCGGCTGAGGCATGAAGCTGATCACTCACCTCCACTCACCTCCAACTAGTGCCGAGGTCAAGAAAATGTGGATCTATACATACACTTCCCTATACACCTTCATGGCATAGTGCTTAATNATTTACACAGTGTTAGACATGAATATGTGTCAGAAGAGGGTGCTGGAATAGTAACCTGAAAGCTAGGAAAATTGGTTCAGATGTCCTTATAAATCTGTCCCTCCTGGTTTTCCCATGGTTCAAAAAGCTGTTGATAATTTCTGTGCATACACAAATTAGAGATCAGTGACAGATGAAACCAGACACTGTTTGATAAAAGTGAATACAATTGGAAAACTGCAGATACTTGAAACCCGTAGTTGATGAGGGTTTGCTGTGTTTGTATTTTACTTTAAAGTTCATGTCAGGACCTCATGACTGGTTGAAGACAGTCTTGGTGAAAAAAAAAAAAAAAAAAAACACTTTCATGCAAAAATAGCACAGATAGGGTGGGGCAGACAGTATAGCAGAGAACTGGGAATGTACACTACATGCAAAATGGCATTTAATTTATGCAGTTTCCTTTTTGTTCACCTCCCCCCCCAAATGAAAAAACTGCTGCATAACCCAACAGACAGTAATTCATTAGTCATCACAGGAGGAAAAGGATAAATTCCGCTTAAGATCATATTATCCATGACATCACAGGCCCAAGGAAACAGGGAAGCAGCACACAGTAAAAAAGAAATAACTCTAAAAATTTAAACAATAGAAATAAATTCAAAATTTTGTACTCACTTTTTGTATGTATCAGTCAACTGATCTAATTTTCCTTTCAGCATATTTGCAGAAGGCTCAGAAAAGGCTGTGAGATACGTAAGTACAGTTCCAGACAAAAACAGCACTTCTTCATGAAGTGATTTGTGGCTTTCTGCTTCTGATAACATTTCCTGTAAAAAGAAAAGTGAATCCATGTCATGAACTGAAATAACAAGATGCCAAATGTCAATAATAGTATTGCTGCATGTAGACCCATTGCTATGCAGTGAATCTGTAAACAACAGCCATTGCTAGACAATGCCTGCAACACACAGGTGGCCAACAGTAAAGGAACAGCATTTTCTATGTCTGCAGATGGACCATTGCTATGCAACAAGCGTGCTGCGATGTCAGTCAACAGTAGTGGGTAACGATCACGTGACATGTGTTTACTGTGATGCATTGTCTGTCCCTCAGCTATTTAAGCGAGCAGAGTTCAGTTGAGGGCAGTTGCAGTAGAGAGAGAAATAGCAGTGGCGGAAGCACACAAGAGAGAAAACTGGAACTAGAAATGACAGTTACAGTGAGTGACAAGGGTTCTCAGTAGGAGCAGCCACAGGAAGTTTGTATTTGAAGAAGAGTTAACTTTTGAATCGAATACTTTATGTGTGGTATAGTGCAGTGAGATTGGGAGTGTGTAATTTAGTGACACTTTTCCAGTTCCCGTGATATAAACCCGTGAAGACTAGTGCAGATAGATTGAAGAAATTAGTCAGAGCTGGGCTGATCTGTGAATACACCATATTTATGAACTTCTCACCACCAGAAAATAATGTCTGAAAGTTGTAGTGATTAAAATATGTGAATACTACTTTTCAGAATATAGTTTAACATGTCAGATTAAGGCAATTACAGCCGAACACAATGTGGCAACACAGCAAGTGTATTGGGGCCTACACATTCTACCAGATGATTCCATGATGAATGACACAAAAATGAACCTTTATGAAATTTGGACCAAAGCATGATTTTCATAGAAATTTGTAATTAAAGTTAAATGTAATGTGATGTGTTTACATGGTAAGGAGTCTACCACGTGATTCACTGATGGCAACGGACATGAAAATTATCCTCAATTGCACATTAATTTTACAGAAAATATTATTACAGCTCAATGTGATGTGGCAACAAGTATGGATAATCACACCTATGGGCTCCACAACATGATCCTTTGATAAACACCGAGATAAAAATTCTGATTCACATAATTTCAGTTAGGGCATAAATCTTGAAGAAAATATCAACACTGAATGCTATGTGGAAACACAGCATGGATATCTGTGCTGGTGGACTCCATCATGTGATTCCTTGATGAACACTGAAATGAAAGTTCCTTAATAAAATTTTGATGTATGTATAATTTTTGTAGAAAATGCAATTAAAGTCCAATGCAATGTAGCAACATGGTATGTTAATTGATTTTACTGTATTTAAAAATAATTATTTAGGATTGTGAATGTGCTCCTACTATCAGAATGTGCACGACTCTGCTAGTGGCGTTCAAATGCCTGAGTACATGAATATGTGCACTTTGGCCATGATGAAACTACCTGTCACTGTACTGATGTGTGCACTTTGGACGCTAAAGGTTAACATAAATTCTTACAAAGAAGACAGTCACATTTTGAGTCATATAAATATTTCCAGATAATGTTAAGACGCCATTTCTTCAGAGTAACAATGAGGGCGGAAACTGTTGTTACGACAGTCAAGAAAACGATTTACAACTCAGAGATGAGTTTATCTACTAACATGGATGCTAATTCTCACACTGTTAAATTACATGCATTTCAGTGCTCAGTTTTTTTAATTTTTTTATATTTATAAAATTTATGTTTCATTCTAAAGAAATTGTAGATAAAGAACAAAGCACCTCTAATTCATAACTTCAGATTTCATAAATAAGCCATTAAAATGTAAGGACAAAAACTCAACTCTGTTCCTTGAAATTTGGTATTTTACACTGCTTATCAGGCAGCACTCAGGGAAGATTAATACTTTCCTAATTTTCACTTGCATCAATTACCTGCAGTGTTTGCTGTGCTTCTTTAAGTTGAGCTTTTGATCTAACGACAGTGTCAATATGCCAAGCCTTCTTTTCACTGTCAGAAATGAGGGACTCAAATGACTGCCACTTAGACTCAAATTCCTAGAGAAAACAAAAACAAATATTATAGAATATTCAGAATACAAGATATATTAAAAACTTTTCTTCAATTAAACCTAATAATTCATCCTCAGCCTAATCATGTGTTTCTGCAGACAGATTCATTTAATTAGTTCTGTCTTTGAAGAAGGTTGCATCACTTCTGTGTTACTGGTAACATACTTTACACCTGGGACTGAAAGCAAGAGGCTGAAAGCCAGAACAGATACAGTCTTCCTCAAGAGAGAAAAAATACATTTTATATTCCACAAACAAAATAGTAAGCGATCAGTAATGGCAATCTAAACAGAAACATAACTAACAAACGAACTCCATAGAGCCAAGCCCTTCTTGAGAAGCCAACAAATGCTCACATATTCAAGAACCTTCTAGCATCCTAAGGAACCTGAAGGTTCACCATCACGTTCACAGGAGTCCGCCACTGATCCGCATCTTCAGGCAGATGAATCCAGCCCATATCCACCATCCAACTCCTCTGAAATCCACTGTCTTACCAGCAATGTCTAGGTCTTCATAGTAGACTCAGTCCTTTAGGTTTTCCTATGAAAACCATAAACATATCCCTCTCCTATGCTTGCTACATGCCATATCTATCTAATTCTCCTTGACTTCATCATTCTAATTTATCTGGCGAAGAGTACGAGTTACATAACACTTCATTATACAATTTTGTCCAGCCTATTATTTCATTCCTCTTGAGTCATAACACCCTGTTCTCAAACACTCTATGANTATTAGATTATATTAGATATTATTATAATAATAATATATATTAATCTTTATATTTATAGATAGCAGAAGAGAAGATGATTATATTAGATTATATTAGATATTATTATAATAATAATATATATTAATCTTTATATTTATAGATAGCAGAAGAGAAGATGATTATATTAGATTATATTAGATATTATTATAATAATAATATATATTAATCTTTATATTTATAGATAGCAGAAGAGAAGATGATTATATTAGATTATATTAGATATTATTATAATAATAATATATATTAATCTTTATATTTATAGATAGCAGAAGAGAAGATGATTATATTAGATTATATTAGATATTATTATAATAATAATATATATTAATCTTTATATTTATAGATAGCAGAAGAGAAGATGATTATATTAGATTATATTAGATATTATTATAATAATAATATATATTAATCTTTATATTTATAGATAGCAGAAGAGAAGATGATTATATTAGATTATATTAGATATTATTATAATAATAATATATATTAATCTTTATATTTATAGATAGCAGAAGAGAAGATGATTATATTAGATTATATTAGATATTATTATAATAATAATATATATTAATCTTTATATTTATAGATAGCAGAAGAGAAGATGATTATATTAGATTATATTAGATATTATTATAATAATAATATATATTAATCTTTATATTTATAGATAGCAGAAGAGAAGATGATTATATTAGATTATATTAGATATTATTATAATAATAATATATATTAATCTTTATATTTATAGATAGCAGAAGAGAAGATGATTATATTAGATTATATTAGATATTATTATAATAATAATATATATTAATCTTTATATTTATAGATAGCAGAAGAGAAGATGATTATATTAGATTATATTAGATATTATTATAATAATAATATATATTAATCTTTATATTTATAGATAGCAGAAGAGAAGATGATTATATTAGATTATATTAGATATTATTATAATAATAATATATATTAATCTTTATATTTATAGATAGCAGAAGAGAAGATGAAGAGATGATAAACTAAATGGCAGCAACTATTAACCAAATTTAATCTGCTCTTAATTTTCTCATAAATTAAATTTTGATTTGTCACTTTCATACCCAAATATTTGAACTCTGCCACATTTTCAAGACATATATTAGCTATCCTTATGTTAAGATTTTCCTTGCATGTGGGTGATGAGACATCAATATATATTTAGCTTTATTTGTTTACTTCTAGACCAACCTTCTTACTAGCACTAATTAGAGCTCCTGTTTTCCCCTTTACGGTAATTATGTTATCTTCCAACGGATTTGCATCATCATAGACCAGCAGTTGATGTGTCCCATTTAATTTCAATCCCACCCCATTTTCTTGGATCTTCCTAATGGCACATTCTAGAGCAAAGTTGAAAAGCAATGGCAGTAAAGCATCTCCTTGTTCCAGGCCAACGGATCACACAAATGTTTTCCTATATGGTCTTTACTACAGTTCTCATTTAAACATATTTTAATAAGACAAACTAGCTTCATGGGTACCCCAGACTCTATGAGAATAAAGTACAATACTTCCCTGCTGACTGAACACCAGTTTTCTTGAAGGATATGAATATCTGATGTACTTTCTAATTATACTCCCATTGCTCTCCGGTATCTTTTTAAGGCAAATAATCTGATCAGCAGGTGATCTATTATGTCACAACACACACTGATGATCCCCAGAAATGTCATCTATGTATGGACTTCACCTTGAGAGAAGGATGTTGGATAAAATCTTGTATGAATTTGATAACAGTGAATAGATACAATAATAGTCTCCTTCCACTGCTGAGGTAATTCTTCCTTATTCCAAATATAATTAATGAGTGTATGGATCTCAGAACATAATGTTTCACCTCCTCCTTGAATCAGTTCTGCCAGAATTTGGTCAGCACCTTGTAATCTATACCTTTCCAACTTCACAATGGCAATTTCAGAGTCAAGAGGACTAGGTTCAGCTGCTAATGGCTCAGCTGTATGTATTTCCACTTCATTAACATCACTGACACTGCTGAATAGCAGTGAGAAGTAGTTCTTGCATCTATTCAAAATGTTGTGGGAATCTATATGCAGATCACTGCTGCTATTCTTTACCAAGCTAGTTCTACCTTGGTAACTAGTCTTAAATTGATTTACACCTATGTATACGAAGTGTATCAGGAAGGTGCCAAACCGTTATTGTTGTAACTGCATCGGTGAAAGATGATGAGAGGGGAGGCCAAGGTCACACTTCTGCAACCCTATTGCTAGCCTGCCACGTGACACCGTGCTGTGAACACGCACTGTTTTACATGAGTGCTTTTCAACTTTGTATTCTATTTTGTTTGCGATGGATGGCAAAGTCAAGCAACGTGTCTGTGCCAAGTTTTGCATGAATCTCAGTAAATCCACTAGCAAAAACCTTGAAACGTTTTGTGAGGCTTTTGGAGAACATTCTTTAAGCCAGACAGCAGTTCTTGAATGGCATTCATGTTTCAAGGCTGGTCGAGTGTCAGTTGAAAATGACAAACGTTCAGGGCAAACAAGCACCAGTAAACAATAGAAAATGTTGAAAAAGTTTGAGAACTCATCCACAAAGACCGCTGCTGAACAATCCATGAGTTCGCAGACACCAGTGGGATCAGTTATGGAGTTTGTCAGGAGATCCTAAGAGGATATCTGAACATGCACCGCATCGCTCCTTCATCATGACAATGCGCCCACCCACGTCCCTGAAAACCACAGAGTTTGTGACTAACAACAACATGGTTATCGTTTCCCATCCTCCCTGCTCACTGGACTTAGCCCCGTGATTTCACTTTGTTTCTCAAATTGAAAATGAAACTGAAGGGACGAAGTTTCGAAACAGTGCCTGATATCCAAAGGGAATCACAAGCAGTAATCGAGAGCATTAAGGAAAATGAATTACACAGTGCTTCTGAAGAGTGGAAAAAACGATGGGGTCGCTGTATATATTCCCAAGGAGGTGTTCTGAAGGAGATGGCAGCCAAATTGAGTAAGTTCAGCCAGCATTTCTTTTTAGACTTAGTCCAGGAACTTTCTGACAGCACCTCACAAGTCCCTATGTTCTTGCTCTTACTGCTGTAGCAAGTTCATTAATTTTATCTTTAATCTTCAGGATATGGGATGCTCTTATATGTTTGACATGCAGTGTTTCAGCAAATAAATTATATTTACTGAATTTTTAAAGCATCTGTAAGCTTCAAATAACAACTTGACTGTTCAGATTTAACCTATTGTGACTACCTACAGGCTGGATGACAGGACAGGTCAAATTTCAAGTCCCAGTAGGGGTAACATTTTTCTCCTCTCCATGTCGTCCAGACCAATTTTAACACCAACCAATCCTTCTATCCAATGAGTACAGGGGCTAATCTTCCCGGGAGTAAAGAGGCTGGGGCACAAAGCTGACCTCTCACCTTCAACTAGTGCCAAGGTCAAGAATATGTGGATCTATACATCCACTGCCCCATATATCTTCATGGCATAGTGCTTAATCAGTTGAGAACAGCAAAAACCTTTACTCTCAGATAACAAGAGAATGACTTCATCAATTTTGAAAGAACATGCTTGAACAAAGAGACTGAATAAGTAACAGCAAATCACAGATGAGGAACTCTGACAAGGAAGTTTATCACATGAAAGAATTAAAATATGACTTGCTTTCAATACTGTATTGAGGTACAAAGGATTTATGTTATTTACAATGTCCCATATTTAACTGTTAGGCCTATGAATCAGAAAGTGATGATCACACAACCATAAGGGCACTGGAGATGAGATGAATATAGGTATTATTACTAACAAAATTTCAATGCTGACAAAAAAGCATATTACCTCCCAGTGCTGAGCTAGTTTTGTTAGTGTATCTCGTCTATTCTCGAGGCTACTGACTAAGTCATTCCACTCTCGGTTAATGCCTGCTAACTGCTTCTCAGTATGTTCACGATTTGCAAGGTCTGACTGTCGGGTAATCTCACGTCCCCGTTCATTCAACAGGTCAATCTCAGACTGCTGATTCTGGAAAGAAACAAAAGAAGCAATTTACAAATAAGTTATTATTATGGTTATAAGCTATAGTAAAGTAATACAATATTTTGAAACTGAGAAAGAAAGGTTATGAGAAGAAAAAAAGAGACTGGTGTCTCATTCATCAGCCCACATAAAATGGAAATGACACTAGAAGAAGAAGAGAAAGAATTTAATCATATAAATTTCTTAACATGTGAAAGAGATACAGGGACCCGTACATGTTTTATACTCAATACTTTGACATATATTGGCTTTTCTGCTGTAGAATGGTTAAAGTTAAAATCTCTTTGTGTGTATAAAGAGCACAAGCAACAGTGGGAGTGGCATAATGTTAATTCTTTCACAACATAATTTCATCAGTTTATACACTGGCCACTTGCTTGTTTTACAATTGTCAGTTTCTCAGATTATACAGTGTCAAATCATAGGGTGACTGGTCAGTAATGAACTGGAAAGGATATGGAAGGAATCAGTCATAGCCAATGGAGGATTTATTATGGAATTTTCCTGGAAGGACTGAGGAAATTCATGAGAAACCTCAGACAGAACAGCCAAGATCTGAACTTAGTACCACCTGAATACATGTCTAAAGCACCACTGTATGCCAACCTGCTTGGTCATAACTGGTAGCATAGAATATGTAACCTATATGTGTTTTCAGAGAAATAATGTGTAGGGGGAGGGGGGGGGCAACAGCGAAGACATTAAATTGTTACAACATGTCACACATCAACATCTCTTAATGCACTCCCCTTTATCACCAATCTGAACATGGACTTGCATTTAATCTCTGTAACTTAAATAATGGAGTAAGATTACTTGGGGGCTCAGGCAATTAACAACCTTTTCATTATGTGCAATCATTACATCAGTTACCAGCTTTCCTACTTAATCAGCAAGAGTGATAAGAGGAAGTGGTATTACATTCCCATGTGATAATCATATGTGATTCAGCACTGTGCAAAATTTCCTTTGTGTAGGTGTAGATAAGTTTACACTACAAAATCAAATGTTGTTATGGGAATCATATCAATGCATGTACAACAGGAAGAATCAGATAAAATTCTGGAGAACATTTCACAGAATTTGTTTTCCTGACAAAAACATCATTCTGAATCATGTCAATGAAGTATGAAAATTTAGCACAATGAGATGAAACCAAAATGTCAGGTGGACAAAATCCAAGCTTGTCTANGAGCCATAACGCACATTTAAATGGTCACCCCATGTGTAATTGCAGATCGTTCAAATAACCGTGCAGTGGTTTAAATGGCTCTTCATGAAATGCAGAAACCACAATCCTCCTTGATCACAGGGCATACCAAACACGAGCATTTGCATCATGGAATGGAACATAATGTATAAGAGCTCTTGTATCTTAAGTTGTGTCTTAAGAGTGATTTTTTATAATCATAGCTTCAGCAATTTTATAGTTGTTCTTGTAGATCTTTTTTGACATTAGTTTCTTAAGTAAGGCATTTAAGAAGCTTATGGAACAAATGTTCTAGACAAGATTACAATATTATATTTAAGCATCCTGTTACACTCACACAGTATATATGAGACAAACTCCATCTTAAGTGCAACAATTTAATTGTAGTTCTTTCTTCTTCCCTTCCTCCACACTACATGTTTCAGCCCTAAATGGCCATCATCAGGTGTGTATTCTTACGTAGCTGCTACACTGCCCGTAGTTTAAAATTTAAAATCACCAGTCTTTCCAATTGTATGTATGTATAAAATCTTTGTTAACCTACACGCGTCAATTTGAACATGTAGTGTAGAGGAAGGGAAGAAGAAAGAACTACAATTAAATTGTTGCACTTAAGATGGAGTTTGTCTCATATATACTGTGTGAGTGTAACAGGATGCTTAAATATAATATTGTAATCTTGTCTAGAACATTTGTTCCATAAGCTTCTTAAATGCCTTACTTAAGAAACTAATGTCAAAAAAGATCTACAAGAACAACTATAAAATTGCTGAAGCTATGATTATAAAAAATCACTCTTAAGACACAACTTAAGATACAAGAGCTCTTATACATTATGTTCCATTCCATGATGCAAATGCTCGTGTTTGGTATGCCCTGTGATCAAGGAGGATTGTGGTTTCTGCATTTCATGAAGAGCCATTTAAACCACTGCACGGTTATTTGAACGATCTGCAATTACACATGGGGTGACCATTTAAATGTGCGTTATGGCTCACAAGAGTTACCACTTCCACAGACCATAAGCACATGCACTTGGAAATCGAACAACAGAAACAATAAAAAATGACAGATTGATAGCAAACAATTAAATGATACACATTCTGCCATCTGTGAATGATGAGTGAGAAGTAAAATGCAAGGAATAATTTAAAACATTATGGTTAAAACATTATTTCAAAGCAGGGACCACTATTACCTGTCTTGAGCTTCACTCAACATTCCCACACAATGAATTATTTCTGAGACATATGGAATTCACAAACTGCAAGCAGACAGTAAATTTCACTCTACAGTGTTCTCCAGTCTCATATTGCTTCACATGGCAAAGCAGGAAAGGTGGCAATCTGTGAAGTACTCACACCTAGCAGAAAGGTCAAACCCTGGCACAGTCACCAAACACATTTGAGATTTAAAATTCTTATGGTGGTGAGGATTCATATTGTGGTTTTCTTGGTTATAACCCATTGTAGTCTGACAGGAGGTAACTTTCTACCAGACCACATGGTGTCATAACTCAGAAGACTACAACACAAACAACAATTCCTTAACCAAACTTAATATGATGACTATCTTTAACATAACACTCTGACATGGCAGCTGAAAGCCCTAAATAGTGGAACCAGAAGAGATGGCCGTTGGTAATGAATGGCTCATAAACACGTTTCCATGGAAACAAACATATGATGCCACAACAAATAAACTGTTGGACCACTGCTAGGTAGAGACTAACAAACATTTCTCCTTGGCAATGGATACACAAGTAATGATAGAAAACTGTTTGAAGCAATGTTTTTTACGCAGTCAGTGCCAAGGATATTATATAATTAGAGCCACTGGGAAAAGCTAGACAATTATGGCTCAGAGGTCAACAGTTGGAGCCATGGCTTAGGTGTGAGGCAGTCACAAAAGAGTAACAACGTGAGCAAAAGAGGATGTTGTCAGGATCCATTCCCAGGCAACCACCAGTGAGGATAAACTGGGAATACTTAGTGTGTACTATAGTGAGAAGTAGAGTGTGTGAATTAGTGAGAGTGTTCTAATTACTTGCACTTACGAGTATAATAACTCCAATTACCAATCCAAACCCCATGTACTCGTATAGTCACTAAAATATGTGACAAATATGTAACAATGAAAGAAAGGTTCCACAATAGCCATACTAAATTACTTATGTTTCTTTCAATTGAATGCCTTGGTAAATGTGATCTTTCTGTCAAGAGGAGAATAGTCTTACACACATTTTTAAGATGTACTGATATTTCTTGATTTCCTTTATTGGTACAGTGCAATTTTCCACTTACTGATATCGTGAGAAGTTAATAAAGAAAAGTGGCTTACTTGGATGTCATTGAGGGCATGTGTTATCTTCTGAATATTGAAGTGGAGTCCAGCAAGTGATGTGACTGGTTCATCTGAAAACTGAGTGCGAGCAAGAAGAGACTTTACTTTATCCACAGTTTGGCAATAGTCTCGCCAGATTTCTACATCTTGCTCCAGCTGAGCACGGCGAGACCGAGCAGAGTTGAGTGTGTTCTTTAGAAGCTGTGTGTGTTGCTGCTGTTCACGACTTAACTCCTCCTGCTCTGAACCTGTTAATGATGGCCAGATACGATCTGCAGCTTGCTGGATTTGCTGTGACACTAGCTCTCGGATAGACGCTTCACTGCTGAAGAATATCTGCAGAGGAGAGATATTTTCAGTTCTGATGACATAAAATTATTTTAATATAGATGCTCTGAAAACTGAAAACAACTGTGTATGATCTGACCATCCTGTCATCTTGAATTGAATTGAATTGAATTTATTTACATTCCATAAATCCCAAGCAGGTTAGTACCTTTGGATACAGAACAAGTCAAAAGGTTACATACATAAGTACAGGCAATTTTAGCTTAAAAATTAATATAACTTAATTTTACATCATTCTCTATTTACATTGAAGTATTCATCTAAAGAGTAGAAGGAATGAGCATGTAGATAATTCTTTAACTCTGATTTAAACTTTTTAGTTTCATTGCCCAAGTTTTTAATACTTTGTGGCAGATTGTTGAACACTTTTATGTCAGTAATGTAGACTCCTTTTTGATATACTGATAAAGTTGATGAGGGTAGGTGGAAGTTAAAATTTCTCTCTAGTATTCATGTTATAGACATCAGAATTTAATTTGAATTTATCTTTGTTGTGAACAACAAATAAGAGAAGCGATAATATGTATTGCGATTGAAGAGGTAGAATTTTTAATTTCTTAAATAATTCTCTACTTCTACATCCTGTAATGATTCTAATTATATTCTTTTGTATTTTAAAAATTATTACACTATGTGAAGAGTTCCCCCAAAATATTAATCCATAGTTCATAACAGAATGAAAGTAGGCATGGTAAACCATCTTCAATGTTGGATATGATACTACAAAGGCCCCTGACAGTCAACTGACATTCTGGAGGAAAAGGTCACCTCCAAATTCAGGGTCAAAGAGCAAGCAAGCAAAGGTTGCTACCTGCTTCATGCTGGTTTCTTGCTTGGCTCATTCTTTCAATCAATTCCACAAAATGGAGAACTGGCTAAAGATGGGATCTAACGCCTGCCTTCTGAGAATATGGTGATAGATTTTCAGGTATTATATATAAAGGAAATACACAATGAAAATTGTTTATATTTCAGCAACACAGGTATTATTACACAATGAGAGCCATGAGCCACCCACATAATAGATAAAAGCTAGCAGGGTTGAAAATTTTGCTGTATCATGAATGCATATAAGGAATGCAATGGTGGAATGGTTCTATCATGCCATCACAGTGTACACTGGATGTCAGGAACATCCTTTTAGAATATGACAATGGGGTACTTCAGGATGATGAAGGGTAATAACATTTGGTATCAACAAGAGTTGATGCTTCGGCTGCTTTTCTGTGTGTTAATTATGTACAAAACCAATCAACAGCTATTGAGAATTTGTAGTTTCTGGTTTAGAGCATGTCACAACATGAATCAATTGTTTAGATATTTGATAACAACAGGTTATTTAATTTTGAATAGGTGACTTGATGGAACCAAAGCACTGTTATAAGAGCACCAATAAGAACTTAAATGTAAGTTCTACAAAATGAGGCATCCTTCTTTCTCTATGGAGTACTCCCAGTAACATAAACCATACCCAATACTTGAATTTATATACCATTATCAAAGAATCAAATTTTACAGTCATTAAATAAGGCTTAAAATGTACTGTTTCAGAAAAGAAGAAAGATAAAACAGAAAGCACAATAGACCACTGTAGGTCGCGGTGCAAGAGCCGAGAAGGCCTATCCCTCATACAAGATAAAACAGAAGTCACTGATATATTTATTTTTCTTTAAACATGTTCATTTCTTTGGATTCTCCTGCAAAGCTATAGGTGATCTGGTTGTGGGTGTTTTCTAAGGATAGGAACCATGACCTATGTCCATGGGGGATGCTAACCGTCTTACAGTGTATACACTTTTTCACCTTATTCTTCACTTCCACACTACATGTTTCAGCACTAATGTGCCATCCTCAGGTGTCTTTATGCACGTTAAACTATTGTACTGCATGCCATGATGTCTTCATTCTAAAATGACTGAAATCTGTATTCGTCATATATGTCGATGAATTCTAAATAATAAAACTTTTCAGGATTCATCCTACATCGCATTCAAGAGGATTGGTGTAATTCGCATGTTTGAGTGTGACGTAGTATGAATCCTGAAAAGGATGAATTATTTAGAATTCATCGACATATATGACGAATACAGATTTCAGTCATTTTAGAATGAAGACATCATGGCATGCAGTACAATAGTTTAACGTGCATAAAGACACCTGAGGATGGCACATTAGTGCTGAAACATGTAGTGTGGAAGTGAAGAATAAGGTGAAAAAGTGTATACACTGTAAGACGGTTAGCATAAACCATGGACATGAATCAGTGTAACAGGACACTAAAATATAACCACGACCTATGTTTCAGTGCTTTCGAGTTATTTACTATGTACTCACTTTATGCTCTTCTAAGTCTCTGATTACATTCTCAAAGTCCACTCCAAATGTCCCGCTTTGCAGTTTGGCATCAGCGTCTTTAACCCATGCATGAAGATTCTCCTTGAGAGCAGCATAATCAAGTCGCAGCTGGAGATTAGTCTCCAGATATTTACGGCGTTCCTCTAATTCTTGTGGGAGAGTTGTAAGTAAGGAATTAGCTTCACTCAGTTGTTCCATTAAGGAACTAGGCATTCCTTCCTCATGTCGAACAGATTCTTGAACAGCACGCACTCGATCCAAGTAACCATTCACATTCTCAGCCAATGCCTAATTAGAAACAAACAAATCATATTAATTAAACCTGTATGTCATACACTGGGAGCAAAGCTGGGATATATTATGGGAATGAAATATCAGTGCTTCCTCATTTACTTCAGTGAGTGCTTGGTTCTTTTTTCAACACGTACAGACCTTATTAAGATCTTAATGGAAACTTATTTACTTACTTACTTACATACTTATGGAGCTGAGCCCTTCTTGAGAAGAAGCCAAATCTGCAGCAACTCAAGAATTTTGCAGCATTTTATGGAACCCAAAGGTTCATTGCCATGTTCACAAGAGCCCCCCACTGGTCCCTATCCTGAGCCAGATCAATTCATTCCCTACCATCCCATCCTATCTCTCTAAGATCCATTCTAATATTGTCCGCCCACCTATGCCTTGGTCTTCCCAGTGGTCTCTTTCCTTCTGGCTTTCCCACCAATATCCTACATGCATTCTTTTTCTCCCCCTTCATACTACATGCCCTGCCCACCTCATCCTCCTTGACTTGCTCATTCTAATTATACCTGGCAAAGGGTACAGGTTATGAAGCTTCTCATTATGCAGTTTTCTCCAACCTCCTGTCACTTCATCCCTCTTCGGTCAAATTATTCTCCTCAGCATCCTGTTCTCAAACACCCTCAGTCTGTGTTCCTCCCTTAATGTCAGAGAACAAGTTTCACACCCATACAGAACCACAGGCAAAATTATAGCTTTGGATATTCTAATTTTTATGTTTATGGACAGCAGACGAGAAGACAAAAGGTCCTGGACTGAATGGTCGCAAGCATTACCCGAGTTCAATCTCCTCTTAATTTCCTCCTGAATCAGGCATCGATCTGTTATCGTTGTTCCAAAATATCTGAACTGTGCAACATTTTCAAAACATCTGTTCCCTATCTTTATGTCATGAATTTGCCCTGCATTTTGGTCACAAGACAGCATGATATACTTAATTTTCTCTGTGTTTACATCTAGACCAACGTCTTTACTTGCATCAATTAAAGTTTATGTGTTTTTCTTTATGGTATCTACATTATCACCCAGCAGATTCAATTCATTGGCATAGGCCAACAGCTGATGTGTCCCGTTTAATTTCAGTCCCACCTGGTTTTCCTGGACCTTCCTAATGGCATATTCTAAAACAAAGTTGAAAAGGAGTGGCGATAGAGCATTTCCTTGTCTTAGATGATTCTGGATAGGATATTAATAGACAATTTGTTTACCTATATGGACTTTCAGCTTAACTAGATTCATGTGTATCACAAACTCTATCAGAATATTGTACAATACTTCCCTCCTAACTGAATCATAGGCTTTCTTGAAGTCTATGAATAGCTGATGTACCGTCTCATCGTACTCCCATTTTTTCTCCAATATCTGACGAATGCCAAAGATCTGATCTGTAGTTGATCTTTTACGTCAAAACCCACACTGATGATCCCCAATAATTTCATCTATGTATGGACTTAACCTTGAGAGAAGAATATTAGATAAAATTTTGTATGAAGTTATTAGCAGTGCTATCCCCCGATAACTACTACAGTCAGTTTTATTACCCTCCTTGTGAACTGGTACAATAATAGATTCCTTCCACTGATCAGGCAATTTTTCCTTATGCCAAAGAGAAGTAATTAGCTTATGGATCTTAGAACGTAATATTTTGTCTTCTTCTTGAACAAATTCTGCTGGAATTTGATCACTACCTGGCGACTTATATCTTTTCAATTTTGCAATAGTAATTTCAACCTCAAAGGGTCTGGAATCAGGTATTAACGGCTCAGCTGTGTGCATTTCTGTTACCTAACATCACTGACCCTATGTACTGTACATTCAATAACTGAGAGNCAGCAACCACGGTCCTTTTCAGGGCCAACAAATTGTTCCGAAGAAGTGGGTTGTCATAGGAGTAATGACAAGACTACACCACGTTGACATTAGAGCCCCACACCTCTATACAGGTCTCTAATGTTCTTACTGTTCATTGCAAGCTCATTAATTTTGTCTTTCAGATATGCCATCTTTTTGTTCCTGAAATGCCTGCTGGTTTCATGTCTTATATTGTTCAGATTATCCCTACTTATTTTGCTTGGATCCTGTAACCACTGCAATTTGGCCTGCTTTCTTTGGTCTAGTAATTTTGAGCATCCTTCATTGAACCATGGCTTATGCTTCTTCAGTTCATAATATCCTAGACTCTCCTTGGCAGAAATTTTGATATTCTCTCTAACAGTTTCCAAAGCATTATTAACATCTACTTCAGCGTCAAAGTTTTCCAAAGCCGCAAACCTATTTGAGATTTCAACATGATACTGCTCTTTACCCTCTACCTCATTTAAATTCTTGAGATTGAACCTCTCCATATGAACTGTGTGTGTTGTTTGTTTGCTCACTGCCAGTCTTTCCTTAATCTTTGCCACCACCAGGTAGTGGTCAGTATCACAATCTGCTGCCCTGAATGATAGAACATTACCTGTATGGATATATGGATAATAAAGGAAATGAATGAATGGAAAAAAAAACTCTGATTCTTACAGTTTAGGCTGTCAAGTGGAAATATCCAATATGTTTCTGTGGATAGCCAAGGGGTTAATAACTCAATTCTGTGTTTAAAATGTAATAATCAAACCTCATGACAAAACCTACTAAAAGATAAGATAAAGTTATTCCTGTAACAGGCCGTGAAAGTAAACAGAGTTGTGAGACGTTAAGGCTACCACATCTTCTATAAAACGGGTTCACAGATGATGATAAGGTTGTCAGCCTTATGCATTGGCTACCCTTTACCCCCAAGAAGATTCCTGGTACTCATTTCTGTTAGAGGCTGAGTCGACCCCAGGGCCATAGTGAAGCTGGCTGGATTAGGTAAATTGAAAAAATACAATAACCTCATCAGTAACTGAACCTGCAACCTTCTGGCTTGTAGCATAGTGCCTCAACCAACTACACAACCACATGCCCCCATGACAAAACCTACTAGTAAGCTTTATTCTGTACTTTTACTTTCACAGGGAAGTATACCAAATTTAGCCCAAACCAAATTTTAAAATAATTTCTATTAAATTATGAAATAACTGAAATAAATAAACAGCAAAAATTGTCTTTGTCATTCTTCTTTATGCATCAAGTCTGAAGAGTGACACATCATGCCACCAGATAAGAAGTTTACATATAACCTGCCTTATGTTTGTGAATCTGTTGTTGAACACTAGCAGGATCTCTGTCTAACAATGGTCTTGATCTGATTGTGGCTTCATTGGCATGAAGCCAGTCTAGCACGGCTTCCAACTCAGCAGCCAGTTTCTTGTGTTCTGCAGCAGCCATTTCATGCTGTTCTCGTTGTTTTTCTACAGCTTTCCTAAGAGCTTGCAGCTGCTGCTTCAATGACTGCAACTGCTCTGTAACAATGTTGCGATCTGCAGCCGAACCCTCTGCAGCAATCTGCTGTCCTTTATCAGTTGCAGATGCCAGCATGGCTTCGCATTCCTGGATTTTCACAATCACCTGCAATTAAAGGGTGGTAAGGAAGTTGGTAAGTTAACACCAAATTTGAAGCAGAACATATGTATGTAATAGCAATACCATAAAGTGAATGGTGTGAGAACTAAATAAATTCACTCATTCTTAAATCAATTTGGCTATACCATAACTCAGACAGTTGGCTTCTGATTTTAGGCTGTGGAGGACTGTGTTCAGCCCCAGGGAAATTCATGTGGAATTTGTGCAAAAAAAGGGGAACTTGGAGAGGCTTTCCTTTAAGTACTTCACTTTTCTCCTACCAATATCACTGCACCAATGCTCTTATCTATTATCATTCTAATTATCATGCGCAAGGATAACAGGCCTATGAGGCTACCATAACAATTTGTTCAGTATAACCTTAACCCTCACCTCAGATCAGAATATTCTCAGTAGTCTAACAAAGATATCGGTTAACACCACATATACACGGTGCAAAATCCCAGAAGACTGCTTTCTTCATAGTCTAACAAAGTTCAAAATCAATAATCTCCAAACACCACAACAGTAGATTACACAAAGTTCAATCAATAATTCCAACAGGCACTCTCAAATGGAAATTCGTTTCTCTCTACTATGGCATCTCCTTTCTGTGAAAGTCTGCCCTTTCTGTGAAAGTTTGCAGTGTGAACTCAATCCTTATGTTACTGTGTTTAGACACTCTTTTAAGTATCCCTTAAAATATAAAATGAAACACTCTTCCTCACTTTGATTCTAGGCACCTGCTGGCCCACAGACCACACCAAAGGACTGAGATAGAAATATTCCAGTTAACTGGGCTTCTTGTACATGTCATGACCTAGAATAGGATACTATCAGCAGTGGTGGTACAGAAACAAAGTACTTTCAGAAAATTCTGCATCGTCATCCACTGCTAATCCCCATGTGAACTTAACAAGTCTCTGCTTTAATAAGTCAGTGTCCTAACTCCCTTCAGTTATATCACAGCCTTACCTAGTAAACATAATGTTAAGACACAAATACATACATCATCATATTTCTTGATTTTCTCTTGAACAGTGTGCCCTCCTTTCTCGATATCGTGCACCACTTCTGTATATTTTGCAATAAATGTGGTGATCTCAGCAATGAGACCAATGAACTGTTCACGCAGCAGGAGTAACTGACGCAATTTTGCAATCTGTGATTCTATTGCTTGAATTAGATCATCCTGCTGCTGGCTGATTCCTTTAAGTTCACCCATATTTCCCATTTGTAAATCTCCAATTTTCAGTTTATTTGCTTTTAAATTGGCCAGGATTTTCTGCAAACAATAATATTGCATGAATGAAAGAACGGTAAACTATAAAGCATTCAAACAGTAAACCCATCATCTTGTGAAAGCACACTTAGTACATTTTTCATTTGATAATAGGTAATTTGAAAAAACAGTATACAATGATATGTACCAAAATCTAAAAAGTTTTAAAGTATTCGGTTTATATATATAAAGCTGTGACTTAAACTGTTTGCAGTCATCAGCTTTATTACCAAGATAAGACAAGACATGCCTTTTTAAAACTTTCACATACCTCATATGATGCAAGCATTCCTTGTACATCCTCTACCTTACTACCAACAGGCCGGTTTAGCTCTTTCAACTCTTTCTGAATATCACTCATGAAATTAACACATTCTTCAACCTTGGCAGCAGCTTCTTTGCAGTTCTTGATCTGATCATTGAGAACATCAGAGCGGTCACGGATGATAGCTGAGATGCGGCCATGTTTATCTTTCATTCCATTGAGCTGTTCAGACAGAGTCAACTTATCTGCTTCACTCACTGTTGGCAGGATGGCCTTGCCTTGCTGCATGATCTTCTCAATCTCATCCCCTATCTTACTAGCTTCATGGTTCAATTTATCATACTGAAAGAAAGAGACAATTTTATACACACTCAGAAACAATTATGGCACCTTTAAAAGTGGTTTTGTCACCATGGCAATGGTTGCAAATGGAGGAGGCTGTACCTGCAAATATACTGAATAATCTGTCAAAGCTGGATGACAAGGGGTGGTCTGACAGCTTGGGGAGATCAGCAGGAGGCTTCAAAGCCCTCACCACAAAGAGTTTGCACGTAAATTTTCACAAAGAGCCCTACAACTGCATGGATTCTTTGAAATGACACAAGTAATAGAAAAGTCAAAATTATATTCACAAGTATATTTTAAAGCAGATTAGATCATGAACTGCTAGATACCATTATGTTCAGAATGTTTTATCTTCCTGTCTCCTATCTAATAATGAATTATGCTTATTTTCTTGCTTACAATTACCACACTTTCACTGTTACTAGGTTATCATCTTCTGGTGAAGACGGTAGTTTAAATCCTTGCCTTGACATAAGAAACATACCATGAACTAAAGATGAGCATTCTCATGTACATACATTCAAAGCCATCACATACGACTGAACATAATTTAAAGAATTTGATTTCTTTCATTCTGGTCCGTCAAACTAACAATATCAGGAAAAGTTAAACAGTTCCATCTAGTGTGACTTGTGAAGATTTTTCTTATTTCAATTATTTATGCCCTTACATATTTCGGTCTTCAGAGCCCATCATCAGAGGGGCGCCCTTACATCAATACAGTTGGAAGTTACTATTATAATGCTCCTTGTGTCTATGATGTTAGTGTGGGCTTGTACTGATGTTATATTATGAGGTAGAACATGTTATACTGGTTACTAACGTCACAGACACAAGGAGTATAAATACGCAGTACAACACACCCTAGAACAGTAGAAACAACACAGCGCACCACAAACACAAACAGGACAACATCAAAGGTAGGACAAAATAACAAAAATTTTTACAAAACATAATAGGGTTGTTGAAATAATACAATATACCCATAATATATTTGCAGAACCCTCTTTCGAGAACAAGGCAGCAAACATTCAGCCCCCACCAAGAGAAATAGTAAGAAAGATGACACAAACCTACTTGGTTTATAAATTCCAATAAAATCTTAACCAATTACAAATATTTTAATGTATTTAAACAGCCGCTGTCATTGCAAAAACTTGAGATTTTATACCCAATTGTATATTATTATTATTATATGTATACATTTTAATGTTCAGAACATATATTGTAAGAGTAACTTCCAACTATATTGATGTAAAGGTGTCCTTCTGATAATGGTCTCTGAAGACCGAAACATGTAAGGGCATAAATAACTGAAATAAGAAAAATCTTCACCAATAACACTAGACAGAAATGTTTAACTTTTCATGATAATTTAAAGAACTGGCTCTCAATGGCATTAATGTTGTTCTTACATGTGCAAATACATACTCGTATGTGCGCCCAGCCACATGTCCATTTAGCCCATTTATTAACTTCTGAACCTACTGTGGGACTCTCACAAAACTTGGTATGTTATTTGAAGCCATCTAAGCTTCTTACCTCTTTAATTTCTTATCCTCGATGACATCAACATACTGACCATAGAAACTTCTGAGGTGAATGTGACATTTAACGTAAGAGCCTCAAATGTGGTGTGATCTTCAAAAGCACACTAATTTATCTTTTCCCCAGAATATAAAATAGAAAAAGGTCAGCTACATGCAGTTTATACCTAGTTTCTCATTTGTCAGCTATAACTAACGAACAATTGCTGTGTCTTAATAGGTGAAAACTGGTACAAACACAGAGCATATACATACTTACATATTTTGAATGAAACACGTTTTGTATACTCCAAACTCTCTGTCCAGAATTATGAAGTTATGTCTAACTTCTTTCATAATTAGGAAATCTATATTAATGCATTATGCAAAGAAACAGAACACTAATTTACATAATTATCAATTTATAATTACAGCTAGTCTCTCTGTACAGATGGAAATGTGTAAAGCTGCAGTAAACAATATCAAGGCTAACTCATTTTCAATCTCAAATCAAAACTAATTACATTGTTAGCAATATCTTGTACAAATCCAAGAATAAGAGCCTGAGTGCATTTAGAATCTCTTAATAAAATAAATGTTCACCTTAAAATAATGAGAATTCTAATACTCCTGCATAGGCTGTACACAAGCACAGAGAATCATGGCATCCACCTTAAATGTAGTTCTTTGGCTCTACACTTCACTCAGAAAAGAAGGCTTCAAGGGGTTAAATAAAGTATTAAGCACCTCATCATGAAAATGTATGGGGAATAGAAGTACAGCCTCATACATACTTCGCCTTGGTTCTAGATGGATGTCACATCTCACCTGTTTTACCAATGGAAATAGAGCCCATGGCACTCAATGGATTATGAGAATAGGGAGGCCCCCCACAGCCAATTTTATTATGGTTTCATAAAGAACATTCTCTGCCCCTGCCAGGAATACAAACCCAGACATCCCGCCTGCAACCAGTCACTATAGTGACTGAGCTATACAGTCTAACTTCAATTTGGAACAATAAACGCATGAAAGTCACATCTACCTTGGAAAGCTGCTCCTCAAGCAGTCCCACGTTCGGTGCTCGTATTTCAGCTGATGTAGCAACTTCTGCTTCATTCAGCCAATGCTGACATTGACCTATATCTACTTCAAACTGCTTGCGGCCTTGTAGTAAGTCAGTTAGAGAAGCCAGTTTATCATCAGTAAGCTTCTTCAGAGCTTCATACTCATCAGTTACACCTGCATAAAGAACACATGTAGTAAATTCTTAATAGTTTGCATCTTGTTATGTCTCAAATAAGATGTAAAGTATACAAGAATACACCATCTACACAACAACATTCTGTATTTTAAAACAAAGAAGACACTACTGTATCAACATTATATGCCTAATGATCCAGTGAGTAGTAATGACTAATGATGTTATGAGTTAGTTGAGTTGACAGACATGTTACTTGTGAGAGAGTTAAGCAGAGGACATTGTTGAAATCTGTCACCAGGCAATGGCTAGTAAAGACATAGAAGAATTATCATGTGTTGCAGTGAGACATATGGTGTGCAAATTAGTCAAACCATTATAATTACTTGCTGTTATAATTTATGTGTTCAGTGAATCAAATTATCAGTCCAAACCTTGTGTCTAGTCATTAACATGGGACAATATTTCATAGGAACTGCTGGAAATGACTGCCTTCTGCCATCAAACATGCCTTGCAACAGGTACACAAGTTTTATAACACTTTCTGAAGTTAATCCTCAGAAACTGGTATCAGAAAATTCCCTCTACTGTTAAGGTTGTAAATGCCTCCGTGAAAGAAGATGAGAGGGGAGGCCAAGGTCACATTTCCCCAAGCCTATTGCATCAGTCTGCCTCATGACATGATGCTGTTAACACGCATTGTTTTCACACAAGTGCTTTTTCAACTTTCTGTTTTGTTTTGTCCGAGATGGATGGCAAAATTGAGCAACGTATCTGCATCAAGTTTTGCATGAAACTCAGTAAATCTGCCACCAGAACTCTTGAAATGCTTCGTGAGGCCTTTGGAAAACATCCTTTAAACCAGACAGCAGTTTTTGAATGGCATTCACGTTTCAAGGCCGGTGAAGATGATGAATGTTCAAGGGGACCAAGCACCAGCAAAACGATAGAAAATGTTGAAAAAAATTGAGAACTCATCCATGAGGACCGTCATCGAAAAATCCATGAGTTCACAGACACCATTGGAATCAGTTAATGGAGTCTGACAGGAGACCTTAACAGAAAATTTGAGCATGCACCACATTGCTCCTTCAGCATGACAACGCACCCACACACATATCCCTGAAAACCAAAGTCTGTGACTAACAACATGGTTATCGTTCTCCATCCTCCCTATTCACCAGACTTAGCCCCCTGTGATTTTGCTTTGTTTCTGAAATTGAAAATGAAACTGAAAGGATGATATTTTTGAAGTGTCCGACATCCAAAGCGAATCACACGCGGTACTCAACAGCATTAAGGAAAATGACTTTCATGGTGCTTCTGAAGCCTGGAAAGAATGATGGGATCGCTGAATATGTTCCCATGGAGACTATCTGAAAGGAGATGGCAGCCAAATTTTAGTAAGTTAAGCCATAATTTCTTTTTTGACCTAGTAAAGGAACTTTCCAATATACATGTTATTTCACCTTGTAGAGCTTCAGAAGTGTGAGAGTTATTCTTGTGCACTTCTTCCATGGTCCACCACTATCTGACAAGCTTCCATACACATGATGTGTAGGAACTCTTTCTTATGGGCATTTCTGAATGCAACACCTGAATACACTTTCTGCAAGTTTCCTTTCTTACAATAGATTTGACTATGAAGACTTGCTGTTCAGTCATATATCTCAATGTAGAAGTCATAAATTCAGACAGCAAGCTAGACAGATATGGAAAAGCACAATGTTCACACACCATCTTACTGATCACACTATGTTTGTTGACTGCACAAATGACTCATTATCATAATGAGAAGTTGCACAGTGATCAATGACAAAACTTGTGCTGTTCACAGTTTTGTTACCTTTTCTTCTTTACCTTCGTGACAACACATAAAATGTATTACTATACAGAGAAGAAAATGCTCGTGCCTTTCAACATATGTCATTACAGAATGTAAAAGCAAGGATGTAGCATGCTTTAAGTACACAGCAATTAACTGAACCAATATTTCTTAGCAAGAAACCGGTCACACAGTAATCTACCCCTGTACTATCACAAGCAGCACAGTTCCATCTCAGCTGAACACGGTATGATTAACCATCAGGAACAACATATAACAACAGTTACTGATCTGACATGTTTTCACCATCTAGGAAATCTTCAGGGATCTTACACCACAATTCCACTATACTGTTTCTATTTCACGGTAAAATTTCTTATGTATTTAAAAAGTGAAAATCTTTTAAAAATGTAAATGTGTACCATAAAATTACTTAATGATAATTATACTATACTGGCTCATCACCTGTTATGTTTTTTTCTAGTTACAGAATGAATATAACATTCTCATTTTTAAATAATATCTCATGAAATCATAATACAGAGTGTCTGGATGAATGGTATCCAAAGTAAAAAATTTATATCTCAGAAACTGTCATACACGTATCTGGTTTGTCATCAGAAAGGAAAACTCTGAAAGTCTTTTTCACACCAGGCATATGCACATGCAGCAGGTGGTGACCTTTGGCAAGGTCAGTAACGATGTCAACACCACAGGAACAGCTTCAATGAATGTTGTGGCTAGCAGAGTAGCAAACCCTTACGGCTGTCCAGCATCATTTTAGAACACAATATAGATGTCAGCCTCCTATATGGAAAAGTATTCGGTTCTGGGACAAAAAACTGAGGACTACAGGTACTCTGTTGCAAGCAAAGTCTCCTGGAAAGACATGGACCTCTAAAGAAAATGTCAATCCCATTAGAGAGGTATTCCAGGGAAGTCCACATAAATTAATTCGTGCTGCTAGCTTGCAGTTACATATTCCACATTCAACAGCGCTACACAAAAGGCTCCGCCTAAAAGCGTACAAGATTCAAATGATTCATGCACTAAAACCAACTGACCAAGTAGCATGTACAAACTTCACTGTGGACATGGTATAAAGAATTGTCGCATCATCCGATTTCATCTGCCAAGTGTGCAAGTTCAAGAGAGGCAGCCCCAAAGTGAACATGTGGGCTAGCTTAATGTACAACAAGATGATTGGGCCATTTTTCTTTTCAGAAAAGACTGTGATCAGACATTCGTACTTGGACATGCTGGAGCTTTATGCGCTGTCCCAATTACCACCTCAAACTAAACTCCAATAAGATAGGGTGCTGCCTCATTTCTGCCACCTTGTTAGGAATCACCTGGACAGAGAGATGGGAGATGGATTGGCAGAAGTGGATCAATCGCTTGGCCTCCTAGGTCACCAGATTTAAACCGACTGGATTTTTTTTCATGGAGTTGTGTGAAGAACATTGTCTACCAGGTTAAATTCAACCACCTTCAACACCTGGAAGCCCACGTAAGGGACACTGTAGCTACGGCAGCACCAAACATGCTTCAAGCAACATGGAATGAGGTTGAATATCATCTGGATATTTGTTATGCCACCAAGGAAGCCCATGTTGAAATTTACTGAGAAAGTTATATACTCAGAAAAAAACTTTGATAGTTTTCCTCTGTAATAGTGTAACCCATAAACGTGTATAATAAATGCTTTCTGAGATATAATTATTTTATTTTGGATACCTTTCATCCGGACACCTTGTACAGATGATACAGATCCTCATTAAATTTATGTTTTTATGTATAAGAATTTCATTTCATAATTCTATTCCATTTCATAAGTCTATTCCTTTATTATTTCATACCTTGCATGATGTTTTGTAGTTTCTTCTTATCTGGATCGCTGCAATCTTTCAGCAGAGCATTTGACTGTTTCTGAATTTCACTATATTTGTTCCCATTGAAATCTTTGATATCATTATCAAAACCCTAAAATGCAATTTTATGATTAGTTAACATAGTCTGATTACACGAAGTTATTTCAGTTTATCTAAATTTCCTTATGTGTGAAACTTAAACAAATGTGAGTCCAATTTATTTTTATGAAAACATGAAATAAAAAAGATTACCTCTGGATCTAATCACATTGTCATCAATGAACATAGGAGGCACAGAGATACAGCAGCATGCAGTTTCAAAATGAGTAGTCATTTATGGAGGACCAGATTCAGTGTCTTAGCTAAACTGTGGGGAACTTGAGGGACATGTTGATAATGTGTGATTTCTGAAAATTTGTTTGTGAGCATATGCTAATTTTACACAACTAGGAGGAATCACTCTGGTATGTCCAAAGGCTGAGATTGAAAAATCATCAAATCATACATCACATAAAGACTTTTATCTTCAGGTATACAACACCATGCAGTCCATTGAAAGTCCTTCGACGTTTCAGATGAACAAGCCACCTCCACAGCAAACCTTTCTTGCTGCTTGCTTCATGCTGGTTTCTTGATTGGATTACTCTTCAAGCCTGAAGATGGTGGAGACATATTCCCCCAAAATGCCAGCTGACTTTCAATGGACTACATGACCTTATTTTCCAGAAGACAGAACTCTTCATAACTATTGCTGCGAGAACCTCAAATCATACACATCAAATGATTTTATTTTGGGGGGCAAATTATTGCTTCTTCTTCTACTCCAATTTGAATTCATTTTTTTAATTATGCATATTTGTAAGAATGTTGTTCTATGACAAATAGTTTCATATACATGCTGATACATACAAGTTTCACATAATGATAACATCACAATTTAGTAAAGCGGTAACTGTTTGGGACTACTGCACTTTCCACTACAACAACACAAAGTTAAAAGAAACTTTAACCTTTAAATGCCGGACTTCGAAATAGTGGTAAGCTTGAGCTTGCCAGAGTTTATTTAAATGCCCGCTGCTGGTGCGCGTTTAAATGCCCGTTGCTACTCTGCGTTTAAATGTCCGTTCCTATTAGGTGCTTAATCACTGTGAAGCGTTGTGTTTAAAAATGCTGTATCTTGCTCAATTTTTATGATAAATGGATGGTATTAACTTTGTTTATATCAGCAAAGAACATAGTGTCGCATATTATAACGGAATATTTGAAATTTTTAATACAAAGTGTTATACTCTATTTTCAATTTTTTTGTTTTAATTTTGATGCGTACTGCAAAAATGGTTTCCCAGTTCTTCACAGAGGTGTTCTGCATTATAAATTCATTTCTGTTTGTAACACTTGACGAATTTTAGCAGCCCCTGATGTCATAAAACAGATGGAAGCAATAAAATCATTTGGTCTTCTGCTAGCACTGCTTACACTCTTCGGATTTTCGAATCTTTTGACTGAAGGACAGAAGAATGAAAGCATGGCTATTCAAGAGAAAGCTAGAGGGGTCCCTCCTTCAGTGCTAAGACCTTCCGTTAGAGCTACAAAAGTTTATTGCCCCTTCAACTGAATGAGCAGACAGCTGCATCGTGGCTAAGATACAGAGTGCGATCTGTTTTCTGTGCGTTCGTAGTGAAATCGAATACTGTAGTATAATTTCAGCCTATATATACATCAAGCAGGCAACAACAAAAAAGGTATGTACATCAAATTTTACAATATATTTTTAACATACCTATCTGCAGAATCTGCAATAAAATTACTGGATCGTGGATGAGTTTGGGCATAACTTATATGTATATTTTTATTTGCTGTTGTTCATTTAGGTATCACTTTAATTCCTCTATTAGGGTTTTACTCAAGTCTGTCTGGTAATTACTACATTTAAAAATAAAGAGTTAGGACTGTGCATGTGCTTCCACTAGCGGTGGGTGAGCACGGTTCCACTAGCCGAGTTTAAATGCCTGGCTGGCACAAACGGGGCACTTTGGCCATGACGACCTTACTCATGACTGGCACAAACGGGGCACTTCAGCACTTAAAGGTTAAGGGATCAGTGACCCATCTTGTTAGTACACTGCACATCGTAAGATTTAAGAGACACTGTGACTGAACAGAATACATAATTTACAGAATAATGGAAAGTTGTCAAATAACTCCACAGGATGGAGACAGTCCTTAGCCTGCAAACTAACCACCTTAATTTATGATGGTACAAACTGTACCTTATATTGCTGAATTTCCTTCTCTACAGCCACAGCTTTGAGGGGAAGGTATCCAGCATACTTCTTAGCTTCACTGTTCTTAGCCTTGAGCCATGCATGCACTTCCTCCAGATCAGTTTCAAATTTCTTCCTGGTGTCAATTCCATCTGCCACACGGTCAATTTCACTCCTTATCTTTGAGCCAAGTTCACTCAGTTCTGATACCAGAGTCTTCAGTCCACTCTCCAGCAACTGCTGTTCTCCAGGTTCAAGTTCTGCCTGCATGTTGTTTACACGCTTCTCTAGGGTCTCCAATAGCAATTGCTTGCCTTCTGCCTCCTTCAGGAGTGCCTGTAGTACAAGTCACAATGAAAGCACAGAGCATACAAGAGAAGTATGATAAGATAACTCAGAAAGTAAAGCCTCATATTTTCTCCTTGACTTTTGTAACTGCATCTGCATGAAAGTGACAATATAGTATCTGACCACAACACAAACATTAGAGATGCTGATTCGCTGCTGCAATGCCAGTCCACAGTGAGCACCACAGGCAATCACATTTAAATAGACTATGATCCTTACACCACAAGACTCTTATTATGTAATTACAGACTCTTGTTCAAAAAGAGATAAAGAATACCGTGACAGACACAGGAATTATGTAGGAAAAAGTGTGTTCAATAATGATGTGGAACCATATATTTATTTATTTGCTTTAGGGCTGCCTCTGGTATAATTCCTCTGTGAATCTTCAGCAGTGAAGACTGTACAGCATATGAGCTTGTTTGATAATCCTCAGAAAAAGACATATCTTCTTAACATCAAAATCTGGAAATATAAAACTATTTCCTACAATGGGCAATTTTATTTCTAATCATTTTCAAAACAATATTTTTCCAAACATTATTCCTTTAATGATAAAAAAATAACACAAAGTGCAAAAAACCACTCCATAAAAAGGGAGACAAGAAGGATATGAAAAATTATAGACCAATATCCCTTTTGTGTGCTTTCTCGAAAATCTTGGAAAAGTTGACGCATAATAGGCTACTCTCCTTTTTGACAAGAAAGACCATATTAACAGAGGTCCAACATGAATTTAGGATGAATAGGTCAACTGAGACTGCAATTTACTCTTTTCGAGCAAACATATAGGAATCAGCTGAGAAAAAGGAAAAACAGGTCGGATTTTTTTGTGATTTAACTAAAGCGTATTATGCCATAAATCATGGCACCTTACTTTCTAAATTACAAACATATGGAGTTAGAGGTGTGGCAAACTTATGGTTTAAATCATATCTGACTTACCGGAAGCAAGTTGTTGAAATAAGTTGTGATGGCAAAAAATATAAACCGGCTCCAAGAGAAATTAAATATGGACTACCACGGGGTTCAGTGCTTGGACCATTATTATTTTTATTATACATAAATGATCTGCCTTTGAATATCAAAGAGGCGAGGATAGTTTTGTTTGCAGATGATACAAATATTTTGGTAACAGCTGAAAAGGGACATATTCTGCAGCAAAAGATATATAAAGTCATGAATGAGTTATATGGATGGTTCAGTGCAAATAATCTTATACTGAATACTGAGAAAACAATAGCAATGGCATTTTATAATAGACAAGAGATCTGATGAAACCTCAAATCAAATTTGGCAAAATGGAGATCTCCTATAAATGTGAAACGAAATTTCTAGGTATACATGTTGGTGAGCATATGGAGTGGAAAGCACATATTATCTTCTTAAGCTCAAAACTTCATAAAGTCTGTTACATGATAAAATCCCTTAGGGATGTAACAAGCCGACAGATTATAAGGAGTTTTTACTTTGCTCACTTCCATACTTATTTGAAGTATGGTTTAATTTTCTGGGGTAGTGACCCAAAAAGTAAAATTATAATTAAATTGCAGAAACGAATTGTTAGAATAATTAGTGGTGCGAGTAGATTAGCATCATGTAGACAACTTTTCAAGGATTTAAACTTACTTCCACTACCGTGTATGTATATATTTGGAATAGTATGCCATGTTAAACTACATTTAGAAAAGTTAGAACACAATAACGTAGTTCATAATCACAATACATGCCAGAAGTTAAATCTCCATGCTCAGTTTTGCAGAACAAATGCCTATAAGAAAGGAGTACTGAACATGGGAGTAAAGTTATACAATAAAATACCAAACAAAATTAGGAAGATAGAAAAAATGAGACAGTTTAAAAAAGTAATGAGGTCATATTTGGTACAACATACGATATATTCTGTAGAGGAATATATGTTAAATTAAAGATGGTATGTTTGTGAAAGGGGGGTATTTATTTTAATTATAGAAAATGAACTATTGTATGTTTAATGTTTATGGAACGTTTTCCTATGACAGTGATTCGATGAGGAAGGAAGAATGGATTGGTTGATTGACTGATTGATTGATGTGAAATGGACTGAACTGGTTACTCTGTTGGGGAATTTATGTTGTCATAAATTTTTAATATAGTTTTATATGGTATGTTGGACATGTACACAATTTGTGTATGTAGTTAAATATTATAGTATTGTTGACTTTTATACAAATAATTTGACTTGTTCTATATCTGGAGGCTGTATTGCAAAATGTCAATTTCTGGAACTAATAAAAATATTAAATATTAAGAGTTTGTCTTGGTTTCAGTGTACAAATATTTTAAAATATATATTCTTGCATTTAAGAATACAAATTCATTTCTACTTACCTTTCCTAATACGAACTCTTTTAATTGTAATTTTACAATGAGGCAACCTGCTTGTGTTTCATTAATTAAATATCTCTCAATGATCATCATACAAAACAATAACACTTCATATCATCATGACAGAACCTCATTCTCCCCACATGTTTGTCTTTTCCAGTCATCAGCAGATGGAACAAATACATCACATTCATATTAAACTCCTAACACCATAGAGAACAACTACTATTTTATCAACAAATGTTTGCAACCCAATACCCTATTAGCAATTGTGGCAGCCAAAACTGGTTTGCTTCTCTTCTAATAACCTGACTCATATTTTAGAATAAAACATTTACATTGTATAGTTCACCCAAGACAAATCCTAGTTGCAAACAAATTCAAAATTTCAAATTCAAATTAATGAAAACAGAAAGCTGAGAGGAATGAATTATCTTGATGAAGCTCTTAATAGTCTTATGTACAACAAATGGCGGTTTTAATGAGAAGAAAAAGGAATGTGACATATCAGCTAAAAGTGCAAAAGCAAATTAATATTTATTAATATTATGCCATAACAATGTTCCAGGCCTTTTGAGAAGAAAATATGAGACGGTACATCTTATTCAACTTTTAAGAAAAAAATTAATTTAGTCAATAATGCAGTGATTTGAGAAATTAAGGTAATTTATTTGAAACTGATCACTTAACAATAAATGTACAACACCAGCCAGTTGTTAAATTTATAAAGATGTTCCAGATCACACTTTTCTCTAAAATAAAGCATTAAATATCTAGATACTCATGTTTTGAAGCCAAGCAGGTGAAAAACTTACTCGCAGAGACTGCAGTCTATCATCTGCAACTTTACTCTCAAACCCGAGCGGTGTTTGTGCTTCCAGTGTCTTTAACTTTTCTCGAATCCAATCTCTAGCTTGTTCAATTTCTTGATGAGCACCTTCCAATCCTTTACGTGCCATTTCCAGCACCTGTGCTTTGCGCTGGACTCTCTTTGCAATGTCATTGTATCTTCTCTCTACAGATTTCAACTGCAAATATTTTAATGATTTTAATTTTAGAATTTGTTACATTTTAAAGTAAAAGATAATATCTTCCTGTAATAACTCTTATAAGGTACAGTTTTTTTATGCTAGTGGGCTGGGACTAACTCCCTTGTACTGCGGCCACTTCTGGCCTATTGTACCAGCCCCACATGATAGGTGAGGGTGATTGCGGAGCAATTGGTGGAATGAAGACTGGCAGGGGAAATTGAAGTTCTTGGAGAAAACCTGGCCCAGTGCCACCACAAATCCGACTTGACCAGACCCAGGATCGAACCCAGGCCACCACGGTGGGAAGCCAGCGACTATCCGCTTGAGCTATGGAGCAGCCTATAAGGTACAGTTATGCCTTACAAAACTCACAGCAATTCACACTTTACATCCCTCTTGCTATTATAACTTCAGTGCCCCATAATAAAATACAGTATACTCCAGAACCATCCCCTAACTTGGCTTAGCGTAAAACCTACTTGTGCTTCAGTTACCTGTTCCTCAATCTGCTGTGAATCCAGGTTACTAACAACATCAACCACAGCACTGGCCAAATGCTTCACTTTACCAACTCTCCTTGCACCTTGACTATCAAACTCAGATCCAATTTCAGAGATAACAGCCAGCTTTTGGGTACAGTCCAATCCACTCCCTTTGTCTAGTACTTCCATCCGTTTTACCAGCGAATCAAACCAGCTATGAATATCTTGGAGATGTGTTCTATACTCTTCAATTATATTTTGTGCTGCTTGCTTCTTTCCTATTACTTGTGTTAGCTGCAAAGAATAATGATAATTAGTAGTAGTAGTAGTACTGAACATTAATCACAATAACATGAAATGAAGTTAGAAAATATAAATAAATCAGCACTCTCATATTCCAACTTCTACAGCCATTTCCAATGGAACATATCCAATACACTCTGGGAAAGAAGTTATTACAGATAAGAACAAGGTCTTTTAATTTTTATAATACATCATTCCTAAATTCAACTTCATTTTTTATTTATAAGATTTATCAATAAGTACGATTTCAGCACTGACTGTCCTTAATGAATTCTGAATACTTCTTCATCCTTTTGACTAGTTAATCACATTTCATATATTAAACAGTTAGCATAATTATAATTTTGGAGACATTCTACTTTGTAATGCTTCCAAAATAAATCTTCTACCTCGGTCTCCAACTTGGTCAGCTGCTCTTCCAGCTTTGGTTCAGGTTCTTCAGCCACAAGTAACTCAGTCACAAGACGAGCTCTCCTATCCCCAATGGCTGCAAGTAGTTCATTCATGTTAACCAGCTCTACTCGGGCTGCCTCAGGACGCAACTTAGCAGGCCGGGATCTCCAGTCTGCTACAACAGCATGCTGCTCTGCTACCCACTGCTGTAATGATGCACGCTGCCGCTCACTTTCCTCCAGTTCACTTACAGTGGACATTAACCCTGACATACGATTCTGAACCTGAAAGTAGAACATATAATAAAATTATCACTGTCTAATAATTCTTTTACTCGCTACTAAACAGTAGCCTTGTAATGAAATGAAAGTAATATAAAGGACACTATTTATGGAACCTATTTTAGACATCTTCACAGCCCTGAAGAGTGCCCAAGGAACTACTCAGGACTACTGGATAGATTTTCATGAAATTCTGAAGTAATTTCAGTTTTATTCAGATCAGACATGTTTACTGCTGATTTTAGAAGAAGATCTAGGTGGGTTTTTGAACATAACTTGCTACATGTTTATCCCAGAAAAAATGTTTAGGCTGTAGTTGTAGAGAAGAATTAAACACGCATTTTATGTCCAGCAGATTTCCTCTGTAAGTCTTTAAGATTTTAAAGAGAATTAAACAAAGGGATGTCATACATATATCTTCAAAATTTTCATATATAACCATGGCCTCCAGAACACAATGGCAGTAAAGAAAATACAATAAAAAGTCCTTACTCACTTTAGACTGCATTAAAATCAAATCTGCTTTGTTCTTTTAAGATAATACCCTATCATAATATAACTTAAAAATGTTTAACAATTTACATTGCTGTTTCGGCTATCAATAGCCATCATCAGGCAAGTACCTGGTCAACATGTCACAATATATACACCACTGAATTGCAGTACTATTAAAATTGGATACAATACTATTAATCATATAAAAAAATTGACATAAAAAATACAATAAATCAGATTATATAAAACAGAAGTTATAGTATAAAACAAGAATAAAATTTTATATTATAACTTCTGTTTTATATAATCTGATTTATTGTATTTTTACATCAAGTGTTTTATATTATTAATAGTATTGTATCCAATTTTAATAGTACTGCAGTTCAGTGGTGTATATATTTTAACGTGTTTAGGCACTGAAGACGCCGTTCAGCTTGTTAATTGGTTTATTTAACAACCTACAAGTATCGGCTACAATTAATTACAACACTGTTGCGGGGTTTAACACTTTGTAGCCCTATTCACAATAATCAATTCACTCTGTCCTCAGTAGTCTACACATATTAATTATGATATGGGAGCTATACAAGTGTCACTGTATCACACACTCCCAATTATTACTCAGTTATCAAAAATTATCATTGATTATCACACACGCGTCCGGTTCTTCTTTCCGCGATGGCTGCTATATTCCAACTCAACTCATAGGCTGCTTGCCTTGAGAACTCACTTCGGCAGCTGATACACTTTAACTGCCTTCGGCAGCTGTGTAGTTCCCTTATATAGTTGCAGTGTTTGCCTGTTATGTAATGGG